CTGAGGTGAAGACAGGATTGGCAGGAAGGAATAATGAGAGCAAATTTGAACATACTAGAGTCAATTTTTATTGACGAGAAAAGAAAACTATGTCTTAAACACAATTACAAACTTAAAAGTCTGAAAGGAAAAATTAACTAAATGCGAGATCAGAATAGGATGATTGAAGACAAATGAGTTGATCGGATTGATTTTTAAAATACTTTGAAAGGAACGGTAAAAGGGACATAAATAATGAATGAATGAATTTTTCCTTTTGATTATTTATTTGACCATAAATTTTCCAGACAACCGGTGCTACTCACCACGTGCACTCAATCTTGTATGGCGGATTTAAGGTTCAAAATAAATTCAAATAACAACCAAAATCTCAGGTGCTACTCAACACGTGCACACTTGGAAATGGATCGATTATGAGAGAATTATTTTGCAACAAAATAAAGTACAGTCGGTTTTCCAATATAAATTAAGGCCGATGAAGTAAAGAACAGAAATAAATTCAGAAGTATATAGACAGAAAGCTCAAGCAATTATTTACTGTAGGAGCTACCCATAAACGGATGCGTCACACAAGTGAATAATTACGAGGAAAGATGGTATTTTCGATTGCAAGCGTGCTACTCGTCACGTGCACAGCTCTGCAACAGAAAGGATCCGGAGAAGGAGGAAGGAATCGCATTTAACTCATCTTGGTCGGATGTCTGCGGTGAAGTACCGGTCGGGACCCCATCAAGTCCATCTATACTATAAGCTCCGAGACCTCCTAATTTTGCGTAACTGGTGACGCTTAGTTCCAGCCTTCTACCGGGCCAATTTTCATGATTTTTGCGGCTATCGACGGGCAATTGTCTCTAGATTAGCCAACTCTTTTCAGATTTTCAAAATATGAACCAGGTTTTTTTATATTACGTGGTAAAGTTGCGAATTCTCCCATTTAAACAATGTAAATTTATACTTTTTGTCATAGTTCGTTTGAGCGTTCTACCGGGCCGATTTCCATGGTTTTTGCGTAAATCGACAGGTAATTGGCCCTAGATGAGCCCGCTTTAATCAGATTTTGGAAAAAGGACCCAGGTTTTTTTAAAATCACGTTATAAAAGTGACTGAGTTTCCAGAATGCTCCGGTACTGCTACCGCTATGCGCGGGAGGATGCGCAGTGGTCGAGGAGGTTGCGCAGTAGCTGTGTAGCCTGCGCATCAACTCTACACTTATCTACACAAGATTCGCACATGCGACTTCAAGTCGAGAGGTGGCTGAGTCGTCTAAGACGTCGAATGCGTCCTCTATGAACGCGGTGTGGGTTCGATCCCTGACTCATGTAACCCAAATTATTACTTGACTTTACCATTGTTCATTGTTTTACTGCAATATTTCATCAAGCAGCCATTCCAAAACGCGTCCTTTTAATTTCAAAGTAATTTTGAGTAAAGTTTAAAATTAAAGTATACCTTATATCGTAATTTTTTAGGGTAAAAATAAAACTAACGCTGATAGGAGGGTAAAAATAGGGCCGCGAAGCGGCCCATTGATGGCGCGGAGCGCCTTCAGGGGGTTGGGCCGCTTAGCGGCCAGGGGGCGTAGTCCCCTAGTTTCATCTAGCTTTCGTAAGCGTCGACCAACTTCATTCGACTCCAATAAATTAAATATACAATTAATTAATTTTTTTCTTACATAAAACTATTCTCCTAGGTTAGCTTCAGGACTTCCTTTAATCAATTTGGTGAAAACAATTAATTAATTAAGCTAAAATAATAAATAGTTAAATAATAGTTAAATAATAAATTCTTAAAAGTTTGAGCGACTGAGGCACCGTGCACACGCTAAACAGCTGGGCAGTCGGGTACAAGAGTTTCCAGATCGCTCCGCGAGAGCGCTCGAGTGGCGCGCGGCCGACCGGTGTACTGCGGTACTTCGCCGTTCCCACAGAATGCGCTACTGTCGCAATCACTTGCTACGCTCAACGGCGCAGCTGTAGCCATCGAAATTATTACAAAATAAATGCCTCATTAAATTTCGGCACGGTTTAAAATAAATAAATAGAAACTTAACGTGACGGAAAAAGTACCGTCACACCGGGGGNGGGGGGGGGGGTGGCCAGGTTAGAAATTCCCCGGAACTTAAGCTCCGGTCGCCCGGAGGCGTCCGGGTGCCGAATCTCGAGCCTGGAAGACAAAGGGGCGGGAGTGGCGGCGGTTTTTCCGGAAGAAACCCATCAGAGCTGTAGCAAACCCCCGGAGGGGCGGAACGGGAAACGCGGCGAAGGGATGAAAGAGCCGGCCGCCAGGGTCCAACCAACCAATTTTCAAGAGCGTAGGACACGGGAGGAACGAGGGATGGGGCCGGGAGTCTCAAGGTCACGATATCCGTCCAATCCTTTTGTTACGTAGATGTAAATAATTCAACGGAAGATTCAATATGCTCATGCCAAAATACCACAGAGAAAAAAAAAGGAGGTGTTTGCATTTCTGGCATCTTGGAATTTTTTGATGACTTGATTGTAATGGGGGGATGAAATAACCCAACGCTCGTAGTCAAACGGTAGAGCTGATCTATATCTCGATACAAAATACAACGGTATACACAAGATGCACTGGCTAGATGCTCCTATACTCGCTGCCTCGAAGATATGAATGAATCCGCCGCGAATCTCGAGAGCATACATCTCGCAGCAGTCGATCGAGCTATGACGTCAAAGACGTGATTGCGAGATAAATCGGCGCTCCGAGATGGATACTCTAAACATCCAAATGCTCGCCTGAGCCTGCACTTGCGAAATCGATGGCTTTCGGTCCTAGCTAGGAAGCATAATGGAATGTGGCCCTAAAACGTAAGTGATATGGCCCCATTCTATTACATGATGACGTAGGTGGGTACAGCGACGTTTAGCGAGAAGAGGACGTCGCTGTACCCACATACGTCATCAAGTCATCAAAAAATTCCAAGATGCCCGAAATGCAAACACCTCTTTTTTTTTCTCTATGCCAAAATACCACTCGATACCAAGTTTCATACAAACCCATCGATAAGCAGTCAGACTGAGCCTAAATATCCACTTCTCGCTACAGGGCACCACATCATAAAGGACTGAACTTTCTGAGAAACTACTGCTGGAATCGTTTTTTTTTTTTTTTTTGTCCCAAAAACCCTGGCATTTCGAGTGCCATGTCAATCCGTCGATATACACGAAGATATCAAATGTCCGTACTTTTGACCGGTCACAATTTTGTTAAAAATGCACATTTTAATCTGCGGTGCACGCCTTTGTTCCTTTTTTCCCTGTCTTTCGAGTCAAATGTCACCAAGGGGGGGGGGGGTTGCCATTTTAAAAAGAAGAAAAAATTGTCCTCCCCCTTCGAGGATGCCGTCCCCAAAGTTTCGGGGGCACCAACAAGTTGCTTCTTTTGACCTACGAACATAACCATAAGTTTCTAATTTTTATGTCAATCAGGAAAAAAGTTACAAGGGTGGTAGGTGACTTTTAAATAACACGAACTGACTGAACAAACGGACCCCCCCCCCCTTCTTTTACAAAATTACGTCACGTTTTGCTTGATAACTTCCCCCTTTTGCAAGAAAATGAACTCACTTATTCGATGTTTTAATGGGCCAGTCGCAAACTTTTGCTAGAGCAAAAATATGAGTCGTTACGATTGGTAAATGTCTCAAAAATCCTGATGAGTGCATTGGCAAAGTTTAAAATGCACTCCTAACTTCACAATCTGCGGAAGAAATTTGCGTTTTTTTTTAAGCTCCCCGCTTCAAAAACGATACTACGGCACAGGTGAACAATTCGTTAGAGGAGTCGTTTTATCCAACCCCTGTGCACTAAGATACTATACAATATTCAACATGGCCGACACCAATCCGCCAAAACCTATGTGCCAGGACGAGATACTAACCATTTGTTAACAACCCTTCGTGTTTACATTCACGATTCGTTCGTGTTGATAAATATCCGCTTTGGTTGACCGTGTGTGCTCCCGATTTTGATTTGCGCGCGGAAGCGTCGGCTGTGTTGGGTATTGCTATTTCGAAAGGGTTGAATTGAACGAATCCTCTAACGATTTCACCCGTGCTGTAACATCGTTTTTGAAACGGGAAGCTCAAAAAAACGGAAATTTCATACGTAGACTGTGAAGTTAGGAGTACATTTCAAACTTTGCCAATGCGCTCATCGTGATTTTTGAGACATAATTACACCGATAGAAACTTCTCTTATTTTTGCTACAGCAAAAGTCTACAACAGGCTCATCGATTTGACATAATAGAAACATTTGCAGAGAGCTGCCGGATTTTTTCTTGATTTGCCGCAGTGCTAGATCCCTCACCTAGGAGGAGTTTTCCCGTTTAGTCAGTCCACAACACCCTCCCTCCCACTCCTCGTAACATCATTCAATCATCGTTAGGTGCTTCTTTAAGGTCAACACAGCCATGATATCCATGAAAATTAAAAGATTCTGATGTTTTAATGTATACTCCTCCCGTTATCAGTGCACGTGCACAGACCCTGGATCGCGTCAGAGGGAACGCGATTTCAAAAATGTGGCTGAGACGACACCGATTTGCGCGGCCGCCATCTTTGATGATCCGGCTTTGCGCGGTTCAATGGGGGCACAAAATATGCAACTTCGAACTCGTTTTTCGTGCCTTAATATTTTTCCAAAAATCGGGGAAAATTCCTTTGAGCCGTGTGCACTCTCTATTTTTCCAAAATGCAAGAACTAGAAATCACTGAACAAGCGAATTATGTCAACCCCCCCCTTCCCCCCATGCCCAGGCATGCTTAAAATGGAAACAACTCAATTCCTCCGAGAATATCCGCCTTAAGTTGTTCGGTTCTTAACCACGCACTGATTGCTAATTTTTTATCTAGTTTGAAGAGTTTCTTAAACCTAAGTGCGTAAGAAGTAGGTGAAAGCATTGTAATTTTGAAAATCGCCGATGGATGTGCAACACGTTTCTCTCTTTCCGTAATATTTTTGTAGCTGTCTTTCTATTCCTAACAGTATAATCTCTTATGTTTCAGACAATAACAGGATGCCACAAAATGAGTACATTGAACGATTCGTCAAGCTACACGGGCGCAGACTTGACTATGAAATTCGCAAAAGAAAGAAAGAAGCTCGTGAGAAGAAGAAGAACTATGGCAGAATTCTAAAAGGTATCAAAGCTAAACTATGGTTCCAAGAAAACAAGCGTGAGAAAGTCCAACTTCAGAAGAAGATCAAAGCTCATGAAGAGAAACTTCTAAAGAAAAAACAGAAACATGACACGCCTAAAGAAGGAGCCTTGCCAGCGTACCTCCTGGATCGTGACGTTGAAAGAAATGCGAAGGTTTTGTCAAATATGATTAAACAGAAACGGAAGGAGAAAGCTGGTAAATGGGATGTGCCTATTCCTAAGGTAAAAGCGCAAGCTGATTCCGAGGTTTTTAAAGTCATCCGCAGTGGTAAAACAAAACGGAAAGCCTGGAAAAGAATGGTTACCAAAGTTTGTTACGTTGGTGAAGGATTTACAAGAAAACCTCCCAAATTTGAAAGGTTTGTCAGGCCAATGGCTTTGAGATTCAACAAGGCACATGTTACGCATCCTGAGTTAAAAGCTACATTCCATCTGCCAATTATCAATGTTAAGAAAAATCCTAGTTCACCTCTCTTCACTAGTCTTGGAGTAATAACCAAAGGTACGGTGATCGAAGTCAACATCAGCGAGTTAGGTTTAGTAACACAAGGGGGCAAAGTTGTGTGGGCTAAATATGCTCAAGTAACCAATAATCCAGAGCTTGATGGTTGTATCAATGCTGTACTGCTTGTGTAAATTATAATAATAATGAATGATGTTTTCAAGTCTACCTCTCATATTTTTGTCACGTTTTGCCCAATAACATATGACCATTAACAGAAAAAAGACCTTAGTATATAGAGCCACTTTTTTAAGAGGAATGATTTTATCCATAACTCATATAAAAAGAAAGAGGTTGTCCCAAAAACGCCGATTTTGCCCCCCCCCCCCTGGATTGGGCCCAAACTTTGCTCAGATGTTGTACTAAGTGTCCCCGATGCTTGGGAAAAATTTCAGCCCCCTCGGATAATTAGGGGGGAGGGGGCAGGGGGCAGGGGGGCAAAGTTGCAATTTTTTTTAAAACTTTAAAAATCGATATCTCGCGAACGGTTTGAGTGTAAGTGTTGCGGTTTGCGCTAAAAAACGTCAAAAAATATTCTCTACAAGAATATTAATGCTGTTTGCAAGGTTGCGTGATTTATCGCGGTCATAAATCGATTTTTTCGATTTTGAAGGTTCCACTTTTTTCCGTTTTTCGTCTCTCCTCTCTTTGGAATCGTTGCTACGTGAATAAAAACGTGTTGAGGTGATTCTCCATGAAATTTTGCATCTACCACACTTTGTCTGATCTTGGGGAAACGATTCGTTCGTGAGTTGTAGCGATTTTTCTGCGCGTTCTCGGTTACGCGCGGGCGGCTTATCGGCGGCGCTCCATCCCGCGCGGGCAAGGCAGAGGTTGTTTCACCGCTAAGGCCGTATATTCATGCTGTAGGCTGTAATTATCGATATTTTCTCCTCCCCCCACCCTTCCCCTGCAATAAATATTTGTTTAATACTTCGTTATACAGGGTATCCCAGACCACCCGTAACAGGTCTTTTTCTCGGTTGGTTTAGGTAGTACGAAGTGGGGGGCCGCGGGATTGAATAGGGAATTGACCCCAAGGAATCCGAATTTCATGGTCCCGATGCCCCCCTAGCCACCCTCGGGGGGTAAAAGGGGGAGGCACAATATCTCCCGACTTAGGGGATCGTGACCCCCTTTTTACCTCACAAGGGGGGCATGGGGGGGGGTTCGGGACCGTGAAATTCGGATTCCTTGGGGTCAATTCCCCATTCAATCCCGCGGCCCCCCACTTCGTACTACCTAAACCAACCGAGAAAAAGACCTGTTACGGGTGGTCTGGGATACCCTGTATAACGAAGTATTAAACAAATATTTATTGCAGGGGAAGGGTGGGGGGAGGAGAAAATATCGATAATTACAGCCTACAGCATGAATATAAGGCCCTAGCGGTGAAACAACCTCTGCCTTGCCCGCGCGGGATGGAGCGCCGCCGATAAGCCGCCCCACTATGGTCCCAAGCCCGATGTAAGCGGCATTAAATCAGATATGTATGTTTAAACCTCGTAACAAGAGTTTTCAGGGGTTTTTAGGGTCGCTGAGTGCAAAAATGCTAATATTCTTCAGGAAAAATCCATTTTTAACATTTTAATAATTTATTTAACTGTGATTATATTTTGTTCAGAAACCTGAAATTGAGGCTCATAGATCAAGTTGCCGCGGTGGAGCAGCGGACATCGCGTCTCACCTATCTTCTTGATGTCCCGGGTTCGATTCTCGGAAGAATTTTTTTTTTTCTTTATAAGTGTAAGAATTAATTTTGCATCGAATGGATTATAAGAAGCTTAAAGTAGAGCCTCGTCAAACACTACTATCAAGGGAACTCGAAAAAGACAGCTCAGGATAATACTTCAACGTTTCATGGCTCCAGAGGCCTACTTTCAAGTCCCACCGCTCAGCCGTTTGAACTTGTTTTCGTCTGCCAAGCTAAACTTAAGCTTAAATGTATCCATTTTGATAGATTATTTGTTTGAAACATGGGTAAACGTAAAAAAAAAACGTTTACGGGACCTCAAAGTGGCTTCCCAAGACAATTTCATTGCTCGGTAGCCTTACTTTCAAGTCCCACCGATCAACCGTTTAGACTTGTTTTCGTCTGCCAAGCTAAACTTATGCTAACATACATCCACACTGATAGATTATATGTTTGAAACACTTAAATCGTCAAAAAAAAAACTTTTACGGGGCCTCAAAGTAGCCTCCCGAGGCGATTCTTTGCTGTTCTTGAGCACAAGTTTCAATTGGTCCCGATCAACCCCCATCAACTCGTATTATTCTGCCTGGGCAGATTTAGGCTCTAATGCATTCGATTTGCTAGAATATGACAATGGAACATGATAAAAGTCATCGTCAATGGCATATGATAGTTAATTGTAGTAAGTGATAAGAAACGCGAAAACGTCATTTCTCATGAGAAATAACTTGAGGCTATGGTGTGTTATTGATCTGCCACTCAGAATAAAAGGTAGTCTAGAGTCATGGCAATAACTTCCGAGTAAAATTACGAGGTGCTCCGAGGTGCAAAGGATATTTTTTGGGTCCTACTTTTGCGATTTTATTGAAAAACTGACTATGTCTAAGGGTTAATCTAGAGCATTAGATATGATGAAAAAGAACAGTTTCAGCATGAAACATCTTAAACTTATCTTATATTTTGTGAATCAAGTGCCCAAACACTTTCAGGTACGGTGAAACGACGAAAACAAGCCCTTAAACACAGCACTGCCGTTCGGTAACTGGAATCGCACTCAAAAGTGCTCCGCGTGCCGCACTTCCCAGGCTTGTCACATCTTTAATAGTGCTTCAATCGAAGTGAAATTTTACAGGAGTCTTCTCTACAGTATGTACTATCGATCTACTTCTTAAAATCTAATATTTTCCAAACTTCACTTCTTCGATTTATTGCCGCTTAAACCGGGCTATTGGGACCATAGTGCGCCCGCGCGTAACCGATAACGCGCAGAAAAATCGCTATAACTCACGAACGAATCGTTTCCCCAAGATCAAACAAAGTGCGGTAGATGCAAAATTTCATGGATAATCACCTCAACACGTTTTTATTCACGTAGCAACGATTCCAAAGAGAGGAGAGACGAAAAACGGAAAAAAGTGGAACCTTCAAAATCGAAAAAATCGATTTATGACCGCGATAAATCACGCAACCTTGCAAACAGCATTAATATTCTTGTAGAGAATATTTTTTGACGTTTTTTAGCGCAAACCGCAACACTTACACTCAAACCGTTCGCGAGATATCGATTTTTAAAGTTTTAAAAAAATTGCAACTTTGCCCCCCTGCCCCCTGCCCCCTCCCCCCTAATTATCCGAGGGGGCTGAAATTTTTCCCAAGCATCGGGGACACTTAGTACAACATCTGAGCAAAGTTTGGGCCAAATCCAGGGGGGGGGGCTAAAATCGGCGTTTTTGGAACAACCTCTTTGATTCTTGACTTTTCTCTGACGATTTTTCCAGGATCATTTCTATTAAGTTGCAAGGAGCTCAATGCCACCAATGCCAGTTGCACCAATTTTTTTTATTGCTTTAATCGAAAGAACTAAGGCTCCTGATGTCACAGGAATTTTCCCGGAGTTTTTTGATCACCGGAAACCCCCAAAAAATCAACTTAAAAACGCCTCAGAATTTGGATTTCCAAAACGGTCGTTTCGGGTCCGCCATACTTGTGACGTGAAATGGTTCGACAGACCTGGTTTCTTCATCACTTACAATGTCTTTTCCCGTAAGAAAATGGCAGCCGCTTTTCTAATGCAAATATCGAGTCAATCGATAATTTTTTGATCAAAATGGAAATCAGAAATGGATTCCTCGTACGTTTAAATGGTTTTAGCCTTCATTAGATAAATAAGAATCGACGGGATAAACCCTATTTTTAAGGAAGACTGTGGTCAATGGGCGATTGTTTACATCTGCTTAGTGATAACAGACATGGACATTAGCTCAATATTTGGCCATTTTCATGAGTTTTTACTTTTCTGTCACTATTTGAAGGTAAGTTTATTTTGTAAATCAATTGTTTAGTGCCTTAGGATCATGTTAGAAGCTGTAAACCTATACATTGTTACTTATTAATTCAGAACACACTCTGGCAGTCCAACGCTCAAACCTGGATGTAGAGAGTCAGTTATTATTTCTTACTATTTCACCCTTTATTGCTTCACTGAAGACACCAAAATGATAGTATCAATCATTGATGATGAAAAAAACTTACCTTTGACAATACTGATGAGATGAGGAGACTGGTATGTTTTAGCTGGAGGCAAGGAAAGTAGACGTAGGATCCTTCTTCGGTTACCAGACTTTATCGATAAATTTTTCTGTACAGTGTTACATTTAAAACACACAGGATTTTAAAATAACATAAGTTTATAAAACGTGGGAACGCTCTGAATGATATTGAGATGTTTGTTGAAGAGTTCAGAATGATTTACACGCATTGAGAGAACATCCATGATTTGAGCGTTGGACTGCCGGAGTGTGTTCTGAATAAATAAGTAACAAAGTATACCTTTTCAGCTTTTAACATGATCCTAAGGCACTAAACAATTGATTTACAAAATAAACTTACCTTCAAATAGTGACAGAAAAGTCAAAACTCATGAAAATGGCCAAATATTGAGCTAATGTCCATGTCTGTTATCACTAAGCAGATGTAAACAATCGCCCATTGACCACAGTCTTCCTTAAAAATAGGGTTTATCCCGTCGGTTCTTATTTATCTAATGAAGGCTAAACCATTTAAACGTACGAGGAATCCATTTCTGATTTCCATTTTGATCAAAAAATTATCGATTGACTCGATATTTGCATTTGAAAAGTGCCTGCCATTTCCTTACGGGAAAATACATCGTAAGTGATGAAGAAACCAGGTCTGTCATATCATTTCACGTCACAAGCACAGAATCCACCAATCACAAGTATGGCGGTTGAAAAACGACCGTTTTGAATGGGTCGGTTGCAAAAACAGCTTTTTTTGAGTTTGAGAGGTCATTTCAAGGTTTTTTAGTAGCGCCATCGTTCTTTTCGTGAAAGAGCTTGATGCAAAAACGGCTTTTTTCGCCCCCCCCCCTCTGGAAGTTCTTCAGACTTTGTCTATTGATTACTCATACTTGAGCGCTTCTTTTCCCAAATTTTCAGACCCCCAAAAAATTTTT